ATAAATATCATTAAATAAACCAATAAGAGTCAAAAATAAGAGAGAAAAGCAACTAATGGGAAAGGGTATTGTTCTTTTAATACAAGAGAGGTCCACTAAAGTCCAGAAGGAGCAAGAAGAGACTTATGTAAAAAAATGAAATGACCTGACAGTTTATTCTGAATGGTAAAATAAATGAATGAATGTTCAAAGCTAAACATTCACTATTATGCAAAGAAAATTCAGATTAGATCCTACAACACTGGAAAAACAATTTTTGTCTCTAAAGAAAAATCTGACCTTTACCAAGTTCAAAGTAGTAATATTATAAACTTTCAATAACAGCTTTCAATAAAGTTATAAAAGTAAGCAGAAAAAAGGGCCAAGATTATAAGATTACAAGGGGGAAAAATAAATCTGTTGGTTGGCTAGTGCCTTTTTCAAAATGTTCTTTTACAAGGCTTGGGCTCCATAATACCTGGCTATCCTAACTCTGAAAGCCATCATGGCCTTACTTCTTTGACTCTTCCTCTGTTCAACCATCACCATTCACCTCTGGTCCTCTCTAGGGTATGCCTATAGTTTCATCAAGTTTCAATCTGTATCTTTGTGCAAATCATTTTCAAATCATTATCTTTAATTATGATCTCAGTTCTCTATCTCCAATAGTCTACAGGTCACTTCTTCCTGGTTGTCCCTGATATAGCTCAGGGGCATAAGCGCCTGCTTGGCAAGTGCAAGGTCCTGAGTTTGATTCCAGGTACCAAAAAAAAAAAAAAAAAAAACTATAAACACAACAAATTTAAAATTGAATTTATCTACATCTATTCTTCCCAAGCAACTTCCAAACCTGACATTGCTGTTGTCAATCTCCCTATAATCCAGGCTTCACGTTTTTGGAGTCATCCGACTATCGCCTGTCTCTTTGGTTTCCCCTTCTTCTCAACTCTGCCAATCAAGTTCCATCAATTCTTCCTTCCTCATTTTCATGTGCCAGTTTTGGGCTTTAATCATTTCTGAGCTATTATTACTTAAAAATTCTCCAACCTCACCATTTCTCCACCCTAACCCATTGTGCACAAAACTATCAGACTCATCTCTCATCCTGTCCTAGCCTTAAACTTCTTGCTTAGCACTCAAATCCTCCACAGTCTAACCCAGTCTCTCCTTCCAACTGTAGTTTCCTTCTAGCCAGTCATGTCTCTACCTTCAGCATTATCCTCAACTCTCCGAGAACCTTCCGTCCTATCCATCTACCCATCAGCATGAAAGCATACTTTGGTGCTCTCTCTCAACTCAGTGATGTCTTCTTTTCAATTTATATATATATATACACACACACACACACACACAGTTGCCTTAAACCATCATATGGAAATTATCACGTATTTTCTCAACTTATGAAATGTTTTTATTTCTGTGTATAGACGTAAGATTAACTCTTGTTTTCCTAAATACTGTAGACTGGACTGTCAGAATCCTGACATATTTCTTTCTATTTTCCACATCTCAATGTCTGTGAGAATCCCACTGAAGAAATCTATAGCAAGAGGTTACAACGAATGAATTAAAAACAAAAAAGCTTCTAAACCCTCCCTGTAACATCACATCATGGAAAAATGTAATCAAAAAGCAAAGCAGAAGCTAAGGTGTAGTTCAACGGCAGATTGCCTGGTCTAGCATGTACAGGGGCCCTGGGTTCAATTCTCAGTACCTCAAAAACAAAAAGTCTTAAAATATATGCAAATGGAACAATATTAGAAGATGAAATAGATGTAGAACACACTAAAGATGTGTTCTAATTCCTTCGGTTTCTCTCACAAGACGAAATGTTTTAAAATAAGCATCAATCTTCTTTACTACTTTTCAATATAAAGAGCATCTATAATGTGGGTGAGGCATTTCAAACATACTACCCACAATATTATTTCATAGTTAAGAATGCTTGAGAACAATTCTGAAAGCTCTGGGGAGAAACCTTACCCACTAAAACCACCGAGAGGTGGTTAACTGAAATGCACCTTAATTATCAATACTCTACAAAATTTTACTGATTCAAAATGAGGTTTTTAAACGGTATTTCTCTGAATGGCATTATTCTATGCCTTTAATCTTAATCCCCCAACCTGCATACTTAACATTAATTCTCTGAGGCCACTACGAAATCCTATCCATATATATGCTTTCTGAAACTTTATAATAGAGATTATGTGGTTTTCTTTGGATTAAGGTAGTATTATTATATAGCTTGTCAGTAGAGGGAAAACTCGCTTACAGAGTTAGCAACTATTAGTACTAGAGGCGTCAAATTCCCATTATTTACAGATGGTTGTATATGTTACTAACCAATTAATGATTTTTATGATAAGACTTTGGCTTTTCACTTCATAAGAACTTCCTTCTGATGTTTCAAAAGTGACAATGTTAAAGCACAGCATCACCAAAAAAGGGCAGCTATAACATCTGTGTGGTACTTTTGCAAGCAATACTCCAAAAGCTTAACATTGTGGTGATCAGTTATCTCGAATTTTTACACACTACTTCAGCAAAAAGTTCATTAGACTCAAAACACCTATCACTTCTGTATCGATTCTCCATCGTTACTTCCGAGTAAAAAAAAAAAAAAACTAAACTCTTAGGAGCTAAATCTCTGTAAATGGAAAGCAGCTTCCAAGATTACCGTCAAATCGATCGAGATTAATACGCGTCCTCAGATCGCCATTCAACAAACTACATACGTGGTAGCAACTCTGACGCGACGACTTTTGATACGACGCCTCCAATAGCAAGCTTCTAAGTGCAGTATGAACTGAGTCAGAACTAAAAGTTCAGGGAGGGATTAGGACGGGCCAGGCAAACGGTAAAAAGAGCCACCCCACGCGATTTTCGCGGTACTCCGACATCCTTCGGGACACGGAACCTGGCGTCGTCCACGGTGACCCCGCGCACCTGAGCCTTTCTCTACCGCAGCGAAGCAGACTGAGAACAAGAGGAAGGTAAACACGCGGAGCCCCCGACAGGCAAAGGGAACCGGTGCCACTCACCAGCAAACAATCCGAGTTCACTTCCGACTTGGGATCCCGCAGCAGGTTGTCGATTTTTTCAAACCGGGTCTCAAAACTGTCCCCAGTCGACATGTTGCTGCTCCTGTGACAATACCGAGTACCAGCAGCGGAAAGCAATTTCAACCAACTTCCTCAGCGGCGGGCTCGCAGGCTCGGGGCGGAGGAGCCGGAACCTCAGGGTCACCAGGTGCGCCCGGTCCCCTCCTCTCGCCCGTCACAAAGGGGACCTCCGCGCGCCGGACCCCGGCCTGGGGGCGGCAGCGACCCACAGTCGCCCGCACGCCCACTGTCGCATCCCACCCGGCAGCCCCTCACGACAGCCGAGAGCGCCGTCGCCCGC